AATCGCCCCAGGGTGTCTATGCGCCCGGTTAATCTCTGCACGGCCTTTACGTTGTCTACCACCGTGATGCCATCGATAGCTTTGATCTTGTTGGGATTAATCTCGATTCCTCGGTTAGATACCATGAACCCGAGATATTTGCCTGACCTAACCCCTAATGCATATTTTTCCGGGTTTAGCTTCATGTTGTACTTCTTCAATATACTGAGAATTTCCTGCAAGTGCTTTAAATAGTCCTCTGCTTGCAGGGACTTAACTAGCATGTCATCAATGTAAACTTCTATAGATTTCCCTACTTGTTCTTCGAACATCCGATTTACTAGGCGTTGATAAGTGGCACCGGCATTTTTTAATCCAAATGGCATTACATTGTAGCAGTAGGTACCATACTTAGTGATGAACGAGGTCTTTTCTTGATCATCCGGGCTCATTTGTATTTGATTGTACCCTGAATAGGCATCGAGAAAACTGAGGATCTCGTGATTGACTGTGGCATCGATCATGCGATTGATATTAGGCAAAGGAAAAGAATCCTTGGGGCATGCTTTATTTAGATCCTTGTAATCTACACACATTCTAAATTTGTTTCCTTTTTTTAGGGACTACTAGTACGTTTGCTAACCATTCGGGGTATTTTACTTCACGGATGGACCAAATTTTAAGAAGCTTGGTTACCTCGTCTTTGACGAAATCATGTTTGACCTCGGACTGGGGTCTTCTTTTTTGCTTCATCGGATAGAACTTCGGATCCAAGCTTATTCTATGGATGGTGATTTCTGGTGGGATCCCTGTTATGTCAAAATGGGACCAAGCAAAACAATCCATGTTAGCTATAAGAAATTGAATAAGCTTTTTCCTGAGCTCGGGATTTAACCCCGTGCCCAGGTATACCTTTCATTCGGGCAGATGGTCGATTAGTATGATTTGCTCCAGTTTTTCGACCGTTGATTTGGTAGCGTCGGAATCATTGGGGACTATGAAGGATCGAGGGACCCTATAATCATCATCTTCTTCAGACTCATGCTTCTCTAGTTGGGTCGAGGCTGGCGTTTGTGATTGCTATTTGGTCTCCTGTTTTCCCTTCAAATTTGACCCTTTTGTCGATGAGAGTGATGATATCGGAATCACTTCGTCGATGATAAACATTTCCTTTGTGGTGGGTTGCTCCCTGTAGATTGTTTTGATTCCCTCTGGTATTGGGAATTTTAGAACCTGGTGAAGGGTCGAGGGTACTGCTCTCATGTTGTGGATCCATGGTGTCTCGAACAGGGCGTTATACCTCATGTCGCCCTCGATTATGTGGAACTTCGTTTCTTGGATGGTCCCTGCCACGTTTACAGGCAAAGTTATCTTGCCCTTAGTAGTTTCACATGCCATGTTAAATCCGTTTAGTACTAGGGTCGCGGGCACAACCTGGTCCTGTACATCGAGTTGCTCTACGACCATCGATCGAATGATGTTGGCCGAACTACCCGGATCAATTAACACACGCTTAATTTGAGTCTTATTCGTGAGTACAGATATTACCAGTGCATCGTTATGGGGCTGCATGATTCCTTCTACGTCTTCGTCGATGAAAGACAAGGTTCCTTTCGGTATGTAATCCTGAACCCGAGATCGCTTCTCCATTACGATCGACACCTTAGTGCATTTAAACACTGGCCCTTGGGGAACATCGATCCCTCCGATAATCATGTGAATAATGTGTTGTGGTTCCTCTTACTCGTTTTGTCTATTGAACTCTCTTTTTTTGAAGTGATTCTTGGCCCGATCACTTAAAAACTCCCTAAGGTGCCCTTCATTAAATAACCGGGCTACTTCTTCTCTCAACTGCCTGCAATCTTCTGTTCTATGTCCATGGGTGCCATGATACTTGCATACTTGATTGAGATTTCTCTAGGTTTGATCGGTCTGCAGAGTTCGAGGCTATTTAGTATCTTTGATGCGTCCGATAGTCGATACGATGGCGGATGCATCAATATTGAAGTTATATTCTGACAATCACGGTGCTTCCTTAGGTCTGGTATGCCTGTCGAAACCATTCTTACTCATCAGCCCTCGAGCGCCTTGGCCTCGATCACTTCTCCTCTCACCTCGTACGGAGTTACGCCCGAGTCCGTTGCTCCTACGATCTCTATTATACGGCTAGTATCGATCCCTGTTCAACCTCGGTTCTCGATCGATGTCCCTTTTGGTAACGAATCCAGAAGGAGCCCCCAGCTAGTCATCTTCGACTCTAATCTTTGATTGATATCGATTATGTATATCGGCCCAGGTAACAGCCGGGTACTCAATCAAGTTCTTCTTCAACTGCTTTGAAGCCACTGAGCTTCGTTCATTTAGTCCTTGGGTGAAAGCTTGAACGGCCCAATAGTCTATAACCGGTGGTAGATCCATTCGTTCCATTTGGAAACGAGATACAAACTCTCTTATCATCTCGTTCTTTTTTTGCTTTACCTTGAAAAGGTCTGACTTCCTAATCTCAACCTTTATGGCTCTGGCGTGTGCTTTTACAAAATAATCTGCAAGCATGGCAAAAGAATCGATAGAGTTAGGTGGTAAATTATGATACCATATCATTGCTCCCTTTGATAGGGTTTCCCCGAATATCTTTAGTAATACGGATTCGATATCATCGTCCTCTAGATCATTCCCTTTAATGGCACACGTGTAAGAGGTGACATGCTCGTTGGGGTCGGTCATTCCATTATACTTAGGAATCTCGGGAATGCGAAACTTTTTGGGGATCGGTTTGGGAGCTGCGCTTGGGGGGAAAGGCTTTTATACGAACGTTTTGGAATCCAAACCCTTTAATATTGGTGGTGCCCCCGGGATCTGATCAACCCTGGATTTATAAGTTTCCATTTTCTTGTCGTTTGATCGATCCTCTTTTCCCCTGATTCTATCCGCTTTGTCAGTTCCTCGAGCATCTTTATAATTTCGGGGTTAGTCTCCGATTCTTGTTCATTTGACCTTACCACAGCTGACCTCGTTCTGTGGGTAACTTCTTGGGGTGGACCGGGCTCAGCCCTACTCGGTGTCTGGTTTGGCTCTGCAACTGAGCTATCGCTACCCGTTGAGCTTGCAGCATTTCGAAGATCATATGCAGGTTGATCCCGTCTTCTCCAATATTTTGGGTATTTCAAACTATAGATCGGGTTCCACCATGGATGCTGTTTTCGGGACCGAAATATTGGTTCGCTTCGATGGCCACATGCGAATTAACGTCAATCGGATCCACGACCCGAGTTTCAACGGGGTGGCCTTTCATCCCCGGGCGTTCCGTTGTTATTCTCCCCTTGATAGCCAGATTCGTTGTCGATATGTAGGGGTATTAATTGAGAGTTAGTCATTTTTAGCCTGAAATCAAAGATACTTCCAAGAGAAAGTGTAAAATAGTGTATTTTACAGAGATTTGTATCAAATAACCACTATTATCCTTAGCCTCACGGTGGGCGCTAAACTGTTTACCCGAAAAACGGATAACAATTGAATTTATACGCGGTTCTAAGGATAAGTAGCATAACTTGGTGCAAATTGAGAAAATATATAAATGAATATCGAAATTAACTGTAAAAGAAATAAATGTCAACTGAATGAATTAATTAGCCTAGACCCTCAAGTTTGATCACCCTCCAGCTGAATGGAGAGTAACTGATACAAGAACAAAGTGACTAAATATCAAAATCAGAAGAAAAGGCAGTATATTGCTTTGTATTTTATGAATCTGAATCCCCCTTACAAATAATCAGACCCTCCCNTCGATCTTGATCGGTCTATAACTTGCTCGATCTCGATCTTGGCCGATCTCGATCGTGACCGGTCTCGATCTTGATCTTGATCGGTCTCTGGATCACGAGCTCGGAGACCCAACTTCGCATTATGGCTAGATTCAACACGAGGCCGAACCTTGGTCTATCATGTTCCAGTCTCGATTAGTCATATGAAGGGCAAACTCGATTTCGACCGTATACAGTTTCTATATTTTAGCTCTTTTACATCTTGCATTCTCTTCCTTCATGTTTCTCACAATGATATTGGTGATCAGTATTGACGAGATACTTGCGCAGTCTAGAGCTACGAGGGTCGAGGAGAGCTGCGGGACCAGGTGCTTAAGCAGCTTCGTCTGGGTTTTGGTGACTGAAAGGGTAGTAGTGATCATGCCTAGGAATATATATAAAAACAGCTTTTCCAATATAATTTAAGAATGAAGGGCTGTTAGTCCGAGCTTTGGATGTATCGAAAATCTAAAGAAAAATCTCTAAGCAACCTGGCTTGAGCTTGAAGATAATAGAAATTTTCAGATACTGTACACAGGTTTATGAAAAGCAATGTCCGGAATGCAGATGGGCTGCACTGGTTAGATCACTTACTATGAATGTATACAACGCTTTATGAAAAGCAATGTCCAGAATGCAGTTTGTACTAGAATATACAAATAGTGGAACAGCATATAATGAATGTATACCGCTCTTGATCACAAATAAGTCGTTTTATCCCAGTTATGGGGCTCGAGAGTACTGTGGATCTATAGCAATAAAAGTGACAAATAGGATGAAGGTGGGCAGCAGTGACACACAATTTGCATAGGTTTTTGTAAAGGACAAGCACAAACTTAACGACTTAATAAGTTTCTTGGCAACATATTTCTCAGATAATTCAAGGTTTCCACTGGATGGCACTTCCAACATCTAGGTTTATGGACTCTTAAAGTTACACGCAGCATTGACCTGCTCTTTCCCACTGTAGTCCTTTGATTTTATAGCGTGGCAAAAATGTATTCTCTGAACTGGCATTCAATACTGATATAGATGTTTCTCAAAAATAAAAGCTAAGCGCACAGCAATTTGTGTAACAAATATAGGTTGATAGTCAAAATCTGTTCCCATTCCTGGACTATTTGAACCCAGAGCAGTTTAAAAATAAACTAAACCACCAGTAGAAACAAAGGCCATTACGCCTATTGCTCCATTTCCAGATTTAGGATCAACACAAGCAGGTCAGCAAATGAGACTACGGAGTCATCGAAAAAGGTACAATTGCTAACTGGATAATTACAAATTTATCACTGTTCTCCAGAATTTCCAGCTACGAGAAATGAGTCCTGGAAGTCAAATTGAAATATTAAGTACATAAGAGTTTTTTTGTTTTCCAAAGTAAGATAAACTAGTCGACTCGAGAGGATCGAGGAGCTTCTGAAATAGTTTTCATGAGGTAGGATTCGGCAAAACCTTTGGCTTTGGCTTCACTTCAACTTCATTTACGCTGCGGACAATTATGGCATCTGGCTCATGGCTGCAAGGGTAAATCGCAGTTAAGTCTTAATGGCTAAGTGAAATATGGAGTAAAGAGTTAAAACTTCCACAATAAAAGAGCCTGATAAGATGAGTCCATCCTTACGGCTTTTCTCCCTCTTCAAATGTATAACTTGATGCTACAGCCAGGAGTCTACCATCTCTGCTAAATGACAATGCTGCAATGCTTGAAGGATATTTAGGGTACTGCAGTTGGACCAGTAAAGACAATCAGCATATCAGTTAGTCAGATACAGAGTGATACAGATCAAAAGCATGTTAACAAATATTTACCTGATATAGCCTCTTTTTGTTATTACCATCCCAGACATTAACATAACCATCACAACCCCCAGTGGCGAAAGTACCATAGCTGCAGATTACATGCAAAGGGTTGTTACCCAAGAATATTATGATCAAGTCAACAGCGCGAATCAAAAACATGTATCACTCATCAAAATGTTGGTGAACCAACAAGCAAACTCAAGGAAATTTATTTTCACAAAACAGGAAGTAAATTTGATATTACCAGATAAAACATGAGAAGTTAGTAGTAACAACAAGCATTGCTAAAGTACTTAGTTAACTAATCCAGTACACAGATTAATTTTAAAGGTTCAGATATTTTAGGTAGACTGTTCATTCAGAAATTTCATAATTGAAGGCAGTGATGGTTCAGATGAGATGTATCATAAGAAGCATTAGCCATTGTTCAGTGTCAAGCATGCCAATAAAAACAATTTCATCTCTACTTTCATTAAGAAGCTTGATCCATCGGAGAAAGTATACACACATATAATGCTCCACTGTCTATGAAGGTATCGTCAATATATCCCAAAATATTATTAAAATGCATTTTGCTGAATATGAAATGATTCCAATTATTTCCGCAGGAATAAATAAAGTTGAGGCAAAGTTGGAACTCACATAGGGTGAAACGCAATTACATTTACAGGGTAGACTATGTCCCTTCCAGCTTCAGTTTTCCGGTGACATTTAAATGCATATCTGCACAGAAGATCATTAGATATGAGTAAATACCAAACAGTGATAAATTATCCACCTAGCACACTGCAAAATCACCTCATATCCACAGGTTCTGGAAAAAGATTAGTGTAAAAACTAATCTGTAGCATGGTTCACCATTTTTATTCTGTGTCTCGTCACTCAACCTTTTGAGCATACAAATGGCCACATAAAAATTCATATCTTAGAAGAAGAAAGCAATGCAGTAAAAGCAACAACACATGAAGGTTTTTATTTCCTGTTCATTTCCCTTTACTGCAGAATGGATCTCTGTTTGTAAAGACTGGGGCATGGTTCACCATTTTTATTTCCAATTTCAGGGGGACTGGATGTCCGAATCTCGTCAACCTTTGAACATACAAGTGGGCACATAAAAATTCATTTTTTTGTTAAGGTAATGGATGGCCACATAAAAATTCATATCTTAGAAGAAGAAACAACACAACAAAAGTAACAACACGTGAAGGTGTTATTTCCCATTCAACTTTCCTTGATCGTAGAATGGATCTCTGTGGTAAAAATTCTCTCTTCTATATTAACACCTTTTTTTTAATTCTATTTTTTAGGTATAAAGTGCCACTAGAATATGCAACTACACAGTTTTAGGAATGTTGGTAAGTGCCAAGAAAAACCAAGAAAACTAAAATAGCAATCTCTTGAAAAGAATAACAATACGGATAAAGATTGTTAGAAGAAGTACATACTTCTTGGACTGACCGGCCTCAGAGAGATCAAAAAATTCCATGGCAACCCGACCTTCAACAGAACTTAGAGCATAGCCTGCAAATTCCTCTTACAGTGAGAGCAGCTAGGCAATGCACATATTAGAAAATCAACGATAGCACAAATCTTAAGCTGAACCTAATGCTTCAAATATTCAATATTATTCATTGTGGAAGACTTAAGAGAATATTTATGCATCATTACGCTTTACATACAGAGAATGATGTAAATATGTTTTCCATGATAAATTTCAAATTTAGGATTCTCCAGGTTTTTAGTTGACTGAATCAGATTAGCTCATTCACAAAGAACGCCAGATATTTCTAAACTGCGAGTATAAATGAGTGATTTACAGTTGAAGCCTCACAGAGCTATAGTATTTTTATTGACTACTAAGATCCAAGAAAACACAATAATTGATACATCCAGTGCCTGTTAATTAATTTGACTTTGAAAATCTTACACAACAGACAGAAGACCTTAATTAGTCACCTTGAATTGAAGATGTTCAGTGTACCTTTCTGTTATTCTACGAAATACAGCTTATGAAACGGATTCAATGGGTTTCTATTTTTCCTTTCACTTATTTTAATTCAAAAAAGGTCCTTGACATCAAGGCATTACTTGAAAATTTTGAGAAATTTTGAGTTGTGTTAATTGATAATTGAGTCAAAATATGCAGAAGTTGGCCAAAGTCCAATATTGAACCACTAGAGTTCCACAAGGGAGCAGAAAATAGAGATTAAGAAATAAACCTGTTCCGTTGGGATAACATCGCACACATCTAGTTTGATATTTCAAGGAAGATTCCCTCCGTTGTTCAGGTTGAGACATGTTCCGCAAGTCATAGACATTCACATGTCTTCCAGCAGTTGCTACTACTAAACGGTTCCCAACAAGGGAAAGAGAGTAAACACGCTCTGGTTGTGTATACGTTCCAACAAGAGTACGTTCCTGTCCACTTGCACCTCTGGGATCCCAGCATTTCAAGGTTTTGTCCCAGCTGCCAGTTATCACTTGTCCTGCACCACAGAAGAAAGTCACATAATTCTATTGGATTTGAAAGTGTACTGACTGTGAGTTGAAATAATAGAACACTTCGAGAGTTCCAATCAACATTTTATAGGATTCACATAGTCATCATGGACTAAGATTCATGGTTTGGACCATATTAGTAATGCATGAGAATAATAAGATTGACATTTGACCACAACAGTGAGAGACGTAAAATATGCATTAGTATGAGCAACAACAACAACAACAACCCAGTGAGTTCCCGCAAGTGGGGTCTGGGGAGGGTAGAGTGTACGCAGACCTTACCCCTACCCCGGAGGGTAGATAGGCTGTTTCCGAAAGACCCTCGGCTCAAGAAAACTAAGAGAGACTGCATTAGTATGAGCGTTGATGATATTTTACAGGAACTTTTACAAAGCCACAAATGGATCATCACGTATAAAAGGTTTGACATTTCAGCTGAAATACAACATGGCACAAAAAAGAGTCCGAGCAAATGAAATGCTTAAGAAATTCACAAAGAAAGTAAATAATGTTTTGCAGTTCTATTTTCGTAGCTTTACAACGTAGAACATAATATTCAACAGGTTCTGAAGTATAAGAACCGACTTGGAGAAACATAAGCAACAAGAAGTAACTTAGACATCCAATCACAAATTCTAAAAGTGCCATGAGTATCTAAGCTGACCGGTTGCATATGAGTATTCAATGCAGCGAACTGGTGCGTCATGCCTTCCCAAGATATCCTCTCTTCCATAGTTGAACACAAGCCTAGAGAAGGGGAAAACATTTTCAACTGGTCAATGTCAAAATACTAGCAAATAAGAAATAACATTAATATATGTGTACAATAACTAATTCTCAAACTACGATATCCATTTACGACCTCTGCATAAAATGATGATAATTATCATCAGAAAGCTACTTGAAACTGAAAACGTCATATTCATCATCTAATTTCGAATGTTATCACAGTTTTTCATCTCCTAAATATTTTCACCAACCAGAGAACCTAAAAATTAGCATAGAACATTGAATTAAAAAAAAAAGCAATAGAATAATATTCCAATTTGTCTAACCAGGATAATTCAGCTATGCACCGAATCCACACACTAGGTTAAATAAAAAAAACACAACATCAAATTACCTTCTAACGGTATTATCAGCACTAGCACTGAATCCAGAAGAATCATCGTGGAAGCAACAATCGAGAACTGGACCTCCGTGCATGAACTCTCCTCTCAACGCATTCGCACTTGCATCGTACAAACGAACCGTCTAACAAAACGCAAAGCAACTAAACTTAAAAAATCACACTATAACAAACTAGGATCTAATAACCAAAAAAATAAGTAGATAAAAATAGAAACCGAATGAATTGCTCGATATTTATGTCAAATGAGCTTAGGGATGCATAAATTGGGAGAGTGAATAACCTTATCCCAAGACGAAACAAGAAGGTGATCACTGTGATTGGAGAATCGGAGGTTGGATATGCCGTCCTTGGGTGGGCTTGCGAGCTCTCTTCCGGCAGACTGCGGCACCGCCGTCATGAGATCGCTGTCGTTTGCTGATTTAAGAGAGAGGTAGAGGTTGCGAGAGCGTATGGAGTGTGTGTCTAGGGTTTCACAGAGAGTGGAGGGAGAGAAGAGAGAGAGTTTTTGAAAAAATGAAAAAGTCACATGAATGCTTCCAGATTTTGAATTCAAATTGGGGCCAAATTGGGAGTGAGGAGTACTGATTGTTTTGGGGTTCTAAATTTTGGCAAAAGAATTTTGTAGAGATTAAAAAGCGGGGTAGGGCCTAACATCTTTTCCATTTTACTGGACTACTGGTACTTCGGAGAGGATCAGAGGTAGTGAAGTACTCAAACCAAAAGATTTAGGTCCCGTTTGTCCACAATTTTTTTTTTTTTTGAGATTTCTTTTTAAATACGCGTTTGTCCATGAAGAGGCGTAAACGGTTGACTTTGGCACATATGAGAAGAGACATAGGGTGGCCAAAAATGTATTAGAGAGAGTTGATCATGCAGTATATGGCGCGACTTTAGATTATCGAAGGCATAATACGTGATAGAAAGGTGTAGAGGTCAAGAATTAGAATAAAGGGCACTAGTTAGTCAAGTATTTTTCTAATCTATACCGGGTTTATTAGGACTAGTCTGTTAGTATCTTGTTCTTAGATTGCCGATATTATGGTTGGTTTCTTACTATTTTCCGTTTCGGTTTCCTAGTATCTTGTCGTTGTTACTGTTTGTTGCTATTGCTTTCTTCCATCTATTTTTCTGGTTCTTACGTTGTTGGTATCATTTTTTTGGCATTTGTGTTGATTGTTGCTTCTTTCTATTATTCTTTTTCATCCTCTCGAGTCGAGGGTCTTTTGGAAACAGCCTCTCTACCTCGCCCTCCTCAGACCCCACTCTGCGACTCTATTGGATTTTTTATTGTTGTTGTTGTTGTTTGTGTTTGTCCATGGAAATTTATATTTTTTTAGATTTTTCGAAAATGAATTTTAAAAAAATCAAAAAGTGATTTTGACTACTTTTCAAAATTTTCGGATTTATTTTTTCTCCACTTACAAAAATAGAATATTCTTTTCAAGGAAAATACATGTCCAAAACACAATTTAAGATTTTAAATAATATTTTTTAATTTAACTCCAAATACAACCTTTTTTCCTTAAAAACCCACAATTTTTATGTCCAAACGCCTACTTAATTGTGTTATTAGTTGGTCATTGAAAATTACTCAAACAAGCTGCTTGAACTTGAAGGCTTTGGAAATGCAATTCTAACCTGCAATTTTGAAAATAAACTCAAATAAAAGATGTCGACGAAATGTTGTGATCACCTAATTTTTTACTGTATTTGAATTTTTATCACATTCTACTATGTAAATATTTTCAAAATTTTAATATATATTTTTTAGCTTTGTTACACTTTTTTTATATATAGGATAAAAATTAATAATAATTTAAAAGGTCAATTAGTATTATTTTTATCATTATTTTAAAATAAAATAAATTTCAAAATCGAAAAAAAATATATATATATATATATATATATATATATATATATATATTTTACAAAAATTCGGATGGAAATAAAAAAAATAGGAAAAGTAGAAATATATATAATTAAAAAAATAAAAGTAAAATTAGGTGAAAATTGTTTAATAAAAGAGTAAAAGAAAGTGAAAAATTAAAAAAAAAAAGTAAAAGAATGTGGAAATTTAAAAAATGAAAAGTAAAAGAAAGTTGGAATTAAAAAATAAAAGTAAAGGTAGCTGAATTTTTAAAAAAAAAAAGAAGTAAATGTAAATGAAAATTTAAAAAAAAGGTAAAATAAGTGAGAAATAAAAAATAGAAAAAAAGTAAAACATGTGGGAATTTAACTATAATAAAAGTAAAAAATTAAAAAATAAAAGTAAAGGAAAGCGGAGAGTTAATTTTTTTTTTTAAAGAAGAAAAATGGGAAGTTGAAATTCTTTTTAATTAAAAAATATAAAAAATATTTAAAAAAAAACAATCTGAAAATTTCCGAAAATTTTTCTATAAATAGGAGAGAAAGGAAAAAAAAATAGAGGGAGGGAGAAGGAGAAAAAAATAGGGAGAAGGGAATTGAGATAAATATTTTTATTTATTTTACGCTAAGGAAATTTCTATTCGTGTTATTCTTTCTTCGGTTTTCTTTCAAAAAATCCAGTAATCCATCACCAAACTCTAACCTCGAAACCAACTGGAAACCAAGCTAAAAAGTACGACAAAAAATGAGCCGAAAACCCAGCAAAACAATCCCCTTTTGTACATAAAACAACAACTCCAAAGTTGAGTCGTCGAGTTCGAGCTCCGTTTGTCGATTTTGGTCGAGGCTCTATTTGCATCCTTGTCCATTATCCGAGCTTCAAAACAATCTTGTGAAGGTCCATTTCTCCCATCATTATTTTGTTAAGATATTATGCTTGAATATATAATTTGATCTTATTTAGCTTCATGAAGATTGAAATATTTTTTTTTTTCTGTATCAATTGTTAGGTCTCATTAGCTTTATTAAATTTTGTTACTTTCTTGTTCGATTAACACGGAGATTGATGAAAAAATAATTTTTGGGTATGTAGTGAATATTTAAAGTTTGGAGATAAAATTCATGTCTGCTAGTTGAAATTAAAAAATGAGGTTTGGACTTAAAAAAAAAAAAAAAAGATGATTGGGTCCGGTAGTTGGATTTTGCTTAATAAAACATGTACGACTGCAATTGACTAATGGATAGTGGAGTAGTTTGATGAACTAGTAACTGGGTATACTCATTAATTGGCTTTAAAAAACCAATTGTGTTGTGATCAATTTTAAGTTATCTGGGCCAGAATAATTAAGAGCAGAAGCTGATCATTTTTCACAATTGATTTCATAATTCATAGCTTCACTAATCTTAAATCTTAGGATAATAAATAATATTCGAACCCCGTAGCTTGCTTTAGGCGCAATTAATAATAAATCATCGTGACTATGGGTACGGTTTTCCGTGGCATAGTCATGATACATAATTCTAAACTCAAGTGCGTGTTTCACGCGACTTGATCCCAACTTCAAATAATAAAAATTAACATGTTGTAGATCGCGGGTGCGTTTCACGTGACGCGATTCGCAATATGTACAAAAACAAGCGAGTGCGCGACATCGCGACTTATTTAAATAAATTTCATAATTGTTTAAAATAATTAAAAACGGTATAGAAGCATTAACACATAAAGGCTTCTAAAAACATGTAATAAATCAGATAATTAGGCCAATTATTAATAATTGAGCGGCCGTGCTAAAATCACGGAATTCAGAAGTGCCTCACACCTTCTCTCGGGTTAACAAAATTCCTTACCTAGTCTTCTGGTTTTCACGGACCTTAAAACACAGCCAAATTTCCTCGATTTGGGATTTAAAATAAACCGATGACTTGGGACACCATCAATTATTCCAAGTGGCGACTCTAAACTAAAATAATCTCATTTCGATTAAGATCACTTTAATTGGAAAAACTTCCTGTCCCGGAAAAAATGAGGTTTGACAAATGTCATATTATATTAATAATAAGTCAGTCATTTCATAAGCTACTGAAGTGTTTTAGTGTATGGAATTTTGGAGCCATTCTCTCTCGACTAAAGCCTGAAACTAATTGCCAGAATTATATGTAAAAAGGAAAAAAAAAATGATAACAATAAAAAGAGATGTAATTGATGCCTTCTCAGCGTATATCTTCAAACTTTATGGCAAGTATGTTTTTTTCTTAATTCAGGATATGGAAATAGTTATGGAATAATCGGATTGAAACATTGTTTCTATTTGCTTTTAAATTAGGGATCTTTACATAAATAATCGGCCGAATTTACTGTTTTTTTTTTTAGCCGGTATACATAGATTATACACTAATTATACGAATATACACGTATTATATATGAATCATACATATATTACTCATCCACTGACTATTTTTAGTTTAAACAATCATGTGTATGACAATTTAGGTTAATTCTTGTTTAAATTAATATCGCGTATTCAATGAAAAATATGAAAAACGTACTTGACAATAATGACTATGAATTTACTGGGTTGAAAACAAAAATGAAGCCATTAGCATTCAATTTCAGGCAATGTAATTCTAATAATCATATCTTAACTAATGAATTGTTTCATTGAGGATCATCACCGGTGTTTTTGTAATTTAAGATGAATTTCGTTGGACTATAAATAATAATTTACGCTTTTAAAATATTTTCTTTACCGTCCCCCCCCCCCCCC